GAGGAGGATTTTCAAACAGAAAAATATTTCAAACTTGACTGAATATATGTTTACATGGTTATGCGACAGATTTTCAGATTCATCATAAAACAAGCCAAAGCTATAACTTTATGCAAAATTATACAAAAATAAAGGAAATCAGAGCAGGGAAAAGGTTTCACTTCTTTGATTAGTCTTTATTAGCAAGGAGCAGTTTACTATTTCGCCTCGCTTCCTCTATCAGTCCTCATGGATTTCATCTCCTCCTGGGTGGTCGACTGAGTTCCCGAAGAAGACGTCTTGTTGTCCTCGGCGTCCTGCCCACAGCGCAGTGCACAGGGCAGCGCACCCACCAGGGCCTTCCTGAACATGGAGCTGGAGAAGATGTAGATGATGGGATCCAGGGCCGAGTTCAGGAAGTTCAAGCCCAGAGACACGATGCTGAGCTGGGTGAATCTGTAGAAGCTGGTGCAGTCCCACGGGCGGTACGAGCGGATGATCCACACTCCGATGGTTGTCACCGTGGTGGGCAGAAAGCATACCATGAATACTGCGACGATGGCGATGCACACTCGCATCGCCTTGCGCACTTTGTCGGGTTTGCCCATACGTCGTTCCTTCAGGAAGCTGGAGATCCGGATGGAGCAGAACAGCAGCATGGCCATCGGGAAGATGAACTCCAGCACGGTGAGGATGCGATGCATGGCCACCAGGATGATGATGGCTCGCGACGCCTCTTTGTAAGATGTGAAGAAGAAGCACTGGGTTGTGTTGCCGCTGCCCTTGATGTGGTTGTAAGCCAGCATAGGAACCCGAGGCGTGATGACCAGCAGCCAGACAAACAGCGACACGAACACCGCCTGTCGCTTGGTCATGCGGTTGAAGCGGTGGTGAGGATGGACCACCTGGAAGAAAACAGCACTGGTGATACTGGTTCTGAAACTTCCACCTGAATACAATTATCTGGATAAACAAGTAGGAACTGTTGTTTCTGTTCTACATCATCTAGTTTGGGGTCTCCTCCACAAAAAAATCAGATTTGGGATTAAATTACAAACTAGCTCATCATTTCTCTCGCCAGTTGGTAGACCCACACCTGAAGTTATTTTGGCACACCCTGCACCGTCACCTGATGGGTTTTTCCTGGGTTTTAGGGGCAGAAGAACATCAAAACATGTTCCTGTTTTCGGTATGTCGGGATAGTGCCAAAACTAAAGCAGCAGTTTCTGTTTAAATCATCTTTTGAATCTTGAATCTCAGCTAACATGCTAACAGCACATTTGAGTTACTCACCCCCTCCCTTGCTGTGCTGAATCATAGCATAAGTGAATCACTCAGGACTCTCTAACCCCCTCCCTCCTGGCTCACAACTCAAACGAGTTGAACGAATCACTCACTCACTCACTCACCCCTTCCCTTCCTGTTACGAATCACTCACTCACCCCCTCCCTCCTGGCTCACTGTCACTTCACAGCTACTTCTTCTTCTTCTTCTTGGTTGGCAACCAATGTTAAGGCACTTTACCGCCCCCTGGCTCACAGCTCAGTGCACATTTAGATGAGAAAATATATATTTGACACAATTAAGGAAAATACCAATAAAATAAAATACAAATAAATAAATGTTCCCTTTAGAATTTTTGTTGCTCTAAAGAAAATAGTTGTTTTATTTTACAATCATTCATCTAAGCAGTAGGATTTACATTAAAAGAGAAACAAATTAAGTTTGAGTGAAAATATACATTTTTGCACTCTCTGGTCAACTGACTCAAGAAACCTGATTCACTTTGGTGAGCGATTCAGTAAAAAGAATCGAATTTACCATCACTAATGTCCTCATATGTAGATCTCACTTTTCTCAGAAACAAAAATCAGGTAAAACAAAAAAGAATCAGGTAATAATAATAATAATTATTATTATTATTTGTTACATTCATCAGGTCCCAAATAGGAAAGAGGAATTAAAAATGCATGCAAAATGAAAGAGTTCGGGTCTTCAGAGGTTAATGTGGGGCCCCATTTATGTGAACACAAATCCAAATATATCTAGCAAAAACAATCTGTTTTTTTTTTCCGGAAAAGATGCTCTAAGTGTCTGTTAGCTGTGATCATACAGGCTGATTGGTTGTCATAAATTAAATAACTAAATGTGACCGACATGATGGCACACTTATACAGCTCTGGTGTAAAAAGCTGAACTGAATTATGTGGCATCAAGTTTACAGACAGAGCAACATGGAGCTGTTTTTGCTGCAGACCTTGAAGGCTGGAACAACAGGCTCAGAGAATTTGGTCCTGAAGGTGTGAATGTGACTCAGTTTATTAAATGAGACTGTGTAGTAGGACAGAGTCCCTGCAGGCCAATCCAGAAACACTCCCAGTCTGGGGCAGCCAGAAGGTGGAAGTGGGTGATTAGTGGTCATACTATCATGCTCTGCATAGTAAGTTGGGTCTGGGTCCCATTTAAAGCCCAAAGACCAGGAGATGTTATTCCACCCGAACCCAGTCAGTCTACCTTTTCCCTTTCTCTCTAATTTTCTGTAGCAAACAGCAGCAGCAGCATCTGCACCTTTATTCATATTCAGTTCTACCTCCCAGTAATGGCGCCCAGTCAGAGCCTCTCTGCACAGAAAGTGAGGCCAAACTTCAAATCTCTCAGGATGGTCGGGATACGACTGCCA